AGAGAGGAGCCGCCCGCGGGAAGCTGCGGCGTTTTCGGCTGTGACGCTGGCTCTGGTCGCGCCGCTTCTCCTCGGGCAACAGCGGCACCCAGAGTCCCCGCGTCGCCACTGCAGCTCGCCCGCAGCGGCCCAGCGCTCCGCGGAAAGCGACAAACCGCGGCATGAACTTTCCCCGCGGGTGCTACTCATTCAAGAGGCAATCCCTAGCAACCTGGAGGCGTCACCGTGTCACATTCCGCAGTGTCACAGAATGTCGTCTAGGGGATGCCCTAAATATTCTTCTCCAGGATTAACTTCGTTAAGCTGGGAATGAAACGTCTTTTTGGCTCCAAGGTGGTGTCCTGATAAAGATTTATTTGCTTTGCTGGAGACGGGAAAAGGTCTTTATGTGAKGAGGTAGAATTCTCCTTTAGCWTTATTCTTCCAGCACAATGTGCACCACACCAACACACACAGTATGTCCACTTCCTGGGACTGGCATGTCTCGTGAGGTTCACACACTTGTATTCGTGGCATTTACATGTTGCCACTCTACTTGTACCTGTTGACCAYCCCTTCACTACATTATTGTGACTGTGAGCACATGGGCCTACTAATCTAGGACAGTGGACAGCTCTGTCCTGGGTACCAGGTGGCAAGCCACATAATTTTTATCTATCAAGTAGTSTCATGTTCCCTGCAATCCCTGCCTCAGCTCCTTTTCTTAGTACACACAGTACTACACATACCACATATTGAAGTTTCCCCTGTTCTGTTTTATGAGCAAATCATATTGACTGAGATATATGGAACCTAGAGGTGCTGCTCATGATATCACACGAGCATAATTTAAGTGCCTCTTAAATTCACTCCTTTTCAGTACCMGCTTTGCCAGGAAAAGTACAAAACAATGTAGACGGCTTGCCCTGAGCAGGTCCTGACACAGACACCTATTTTGTCCCTGGAAACATCTGGCTGGCTTCGTTATTTTTCTTGAGCAATACAAGCTGCCACACCAGGAGGCAGACCATGTGTCTGCAGGAGTTTAAAGAGATTAGGACAGCCCAGAAGGAGCTGGTGTTTG